CTCCTGAAAGGGATATAATTTCAAAGAGAAAAATTGCTATAATTGGAAAGCAGTGAGGGAAAGCAATGTCACTATTAAGAACGAACAAATCAGGGCCCATTCAGATGAAGAACAGAGAGCATTCTGCAGTGGCACCATGAGGGGGCAATTAGCACAGAGATGCATTAGGAGAGAAAGGGTATTTGAACAGAAAGATGTCCAAGTCTGAATTTTGGCTCCATTATGGCTGACGGCACACTCAGCAAATGGCTCCTAAGAGAGAAGTCTGGATTTCCTTCCATGGTTAAAATGCGGCTGTTCATTCAGCCAAGAAAGGGAAATTACAGCTAAATCTCTGGTCTTTGCTTATGTTCAGCAGCAGCAAAGGATGGGTGAGAATGATTTAAGTCAATTTGACTTTGCTTTCGGTCTCCTTTATCATCTTCAGGTGATAGGCATACGCACGAACCTAATCCAACATTCACCTTCCCAGCCGCACTCCATCCCATCCTTTAATCCTTTATACCGACCTCAGCAGTAGACAACTAGGGGTCTGAGGAAGTTCAAAGTTGAAAGTGGTACTTACAGCTTACTAAACAGACCAGTGAAGAGGCTGTAGACAAAAATGAATCTAAGTACAATAATGCACGATGAGGCATAGTAAAACAAATAAACAAAGCAATAAAAAATTGCTCTGCTTTCCCATATCAGTATAAAAACATAAAATGTTATGTGACAATAAAGTTTCCATAGATATTCTGTAAACAAAAGACAAAGCCATAGCCACAGCCTAAAACGTGGCCACCCCTTCTTTTATTGGTGATTACATTCCAGTGCGCCACTAAACCTGGGCAAACTATAGACTCAAACATACCTAGAAGTCATGGAAAAAAAATCCTAAATGGAATCTTGTACAATGTTTGCCCTCAAACATCTATGGAATAATAAAATGAAGGAAAATAGAAGAGAAAATTTGTAACAAAAGTTGAAAAACATAACTTTAAAAACCACAATGAAAAATAGACTGGCCTAGCAAGATATGGGAAATATTATTCTTAACAATCTCAATTCTGGACTGAAATTTAAGTGAAATGAGTTTTCATGGTGAGAAATGGCTGCAGGCATCAGTTAGTCTGGCACAGTCTTCCTCAAATGGCAGGCTGATGGACGGAAAGCTATCATTAACAGCTGAGATCCAACCTTTCTACTACACACCTTATTTACAGAGACTCACACTAGAAGCCTAGTGTGCTAGTTACTTCTCTGGGTAGCATCGCCTGCTCTTTGTCCACTCTTTGGATACATTCATACGAAATAATTTATTTGGGCTTTATTATGATAAAAGGCATAATTAGCAGTCATTTTGTTGCATAAAGTACTGAAGCCACAAGCCAATTTTCTAAAAGTGCTTCTAATGCTGCACCTGCAGCATTTGTGTTTATAAATCAGGTAATTGTTCTTCAAGCTACTTCTGTATATGTGTAATTACTCCAATTTACATATTCAAATTATACTAATCATATACAGTTTGCTAACTTCTCACATTATGCTCCCCCATCAACTTTGTCAGTTCAGCTAGGTCAGATTTTGGAAATTTTTATTAGTTATCATTTTTTTCATTATTGTGACAAAATACTCAACAAAAAGTAACTTAAGAGAGGAGAGGTTTATTTTTGGCTCACAGGTTGTGGGCACAGGCTATGAGAGTGAGGGGAACATGGCACAGGGGCATGAGGGAGTTGCTCACACTGTATCCTCACCAGGAATGGGAGAGAGGAATGCGGGTGTTCTCCTGGACTCCTGCTTCTTTTATTCATTCTGGAACCCCAGGCTGTGGATAGAGCCACCCACTGAGGACAGGTCTCTCTTAGTTGATCTCCTTTGGAAGCACCCTCACAGATATGGCCAGAGGCATGTCTACCAGGAGACTCTAAGTAGAGTCCAGTTGAAAATAAAGTCAACTATTATTTCACTAAATTACATTACTTTCTCTCAAGCCATTTAGGAAAATGTTCAATATTTCCATCTGATAATAAAACATATGGACAAAGTTCAAAGAATCTGTTAAGTTCCCATTGATCCATTAGGTCTGGCTAGCACACTATTTTACCATTTTAATCTATTAAAACCATTTTAGTCAAACTTTTTGATCTTCATTATAAAAGCACATTTAACCATCACAGGAGTCTTGAATTTTTACCAATTCCAAGGATTAATACTAAGAAATGCCAATATAAGTGGAAGGGGGGTGGGGTGGTATGTGACAGGCCAAAAGACAAGGCCTGATCTGACTTAATGTTTTTCAAGTTTCAAACAAAACTTCATATCTTGATTTTTTGCCCATACAGATCTATACTATCCAGAGAACACAAATCTCTATTGAAGTACTATTCTGTTCCTTACATGGAAAAAAAACTAAATATGCATTACTGAAAACATTTTAAAGGTTATGCAAAATTTTAGTCAAGGCTTAAGGATCACCCAGTATTCTATCTCAAACACACAAAAACTCAGTAAAGACTAAAATTTTATGTCAATATACAGCAAAAATAGTTTAGGGTAATAATTTGCATTCTATTACTTAGATAATTAAATTTTGATAAATAAAGTCTAGCTTTGTTTAGCACAAAATTTAAATAAAAGTATAAAGCTAGGGGCTGGAGAGATGGTTCAGTGGTTAAGAGCACTTGTTAGACCCCAGCACTCACAGATGGTTCTTAGCCACCATGTGGGTTTTGGGAACTGAACCTGGGTCCCTGCAATTGCTGAGGTTCTTTGGAGCTCACCAGAGCAGATTAAGCACACAGTTAATGGCCTAGAAGTAAGAGGCAAAAACCAAAAGATCACCTGGAAGTGTCCAATCAAAAGACTGGACACTCTCTCATCTCACACACAGAATATCAACACCCAGGGGGTGTGCCTCACCCGCATCCACGTAATCATCCACATCCAACTCTTGTTCCCTAAAAAACGTCTGGAAGGACCCGAGGAGTAGGGACATGTGTAAAGTGTGTAATAGGAGCAAAGCACAGACTATTTAATGATGTGCAAAGCTGGGAGGTAAACTTCAAAAGAGAAGGCTGTGATGGCTAATCTTGGCTGTCAACTTGACTGAATCTGAAATCAAGTAACATGCAAGCCCTGGGCACTTGTGTGAGGGACTTTCTTGACCAGATTATTTGAAGCAGGAAGACCGACCCTAAATGAGGGCGGTGCCTTCTGGTGGCAGCCCAGATGAAAGAATGGAGAAGGAAAGTTTTACTTCTTGCCTGTTTTCCTTCACTTTCTGGCAAGTTCATCTATGCCGTGGCTGTGGAATTTCTTCACTAATATTAGAATCAGCTCCTTTGAGCTTCCAACGTAGATGGAAGACTAGCAGCTCTCTAAGAACCCTCCAGAACTTTAGCACCAAATCAGGACTGCTGAGAAGCCAGCTCTGTGGACTGGACAACTACTGGATTTGCTGTCTCTCCAGTATGAGACAGCCCTTGTTGGAAGGCATCCTAGTGAATATATCCATATATTCGTTCTATCAGCTCTGCTCCTATAGAGAACCCTTACTAATACAAAGACCAAGAATCAAGGACACAGTGGGCTCCACCAGGCAAGCAGCAGAGAGCACTCTAAGAGCTCAGAGGCAGGCAGACCTCCAGACTTATGCAGGAGCACACAAGGTCTCCAAAGTTCAACTGGGAATCTGGTCAAAATCAAGAACCTGATTATTGAGACAGTAGAGAGACTCAGCCATATTTTTCCAGGTTCTACATCACCAAACAAAAGAGCAGGTCCATGCACAGGAGGGGGAGCCAGTCAGCTGTGTCTGCCCTTACCACCTCCATTCTAAGTTCCTTTGTCCTCGCTTCGTTTTCATTGGTTTTTGTTTCAGTTTTTGTTTTCACAATAGAGTCTCACTCACTATGTGGCACTAACTTTCTTCTTTATAAATTACCCAATCTGTGATATTATTTTTTCAGCAGACAATGCTACTTCGGGAAAACAATGACTACTCACAAGAGAAATGAAACAGCCAAATGCTAATAAAATAATAATGAACACAACAAATATCACACTACTACTTACTCAAATAAAGGGTGCTGCTGAACTTCACAACCATAACATGAAAAAGCTTTTATTGCATGTGTTTATGAGTGGGGTGTGTGTGTGTGTGTGTGTGTCGCACGTGCATGTGAATATGTGGAGGTCAGAGGACAACTTGTGAGAATAGGTTCTCTCCTTCCACTGTGTATTTACATCATCAGGATTTGAGACAAGCATTCTTACCCACTGAACCACCTTGCTGGTCCAATTGCAACTTTTAAAATTTCTAACAGCTTCTGTTAAAATTAGTGACTATTTGCAAAATGAAATATTGAATTCTAGTACTGGCAGTCACCTTAAGAAGGGAAGATCATGGTATCTCACTTTAGATCCAGTTCTTCAATACAAAAAAATCTACTCTGGAGATTTGTCAGGCAGACTGCTGCCCTCCAGCAACTTATTCAGTGTAAACACCATTTAGGGCAAGTTTTGTTCCCCACTAATGTAAATGCCTGGTTCTGTTGTTTAAGTCATTAGCTTTCGATAAAGACAAAAAGAAAATCATAACCATTTCTGTCTAAGGAGGCTTCACTTAACATTAATTGCTCTTATAGTATGACCCTGGTACAGGGGTTTGGTCATGTATTAATTGAATAAAGAATAAAGGCATATTGTAATGAAATTTCCTTTGAATATATCTTCCTGTAAGAAAAATAATTTTAGCTTCTTTAGTCTCTTCTGGTGCTCTCTTTTCCTTTCAGTCTTTGGTGGTCTTTGTAGACTTTTAATTTCCTGATGTATCTAAGACAGCAAGGCCCAAACTGGGCACAACATTCTACTGAGGACAGGCAGTCAGTGATACATTACATACAAGTGTTGCATGGTGCAGATGGGACACAAGCAAGAAGTCATTGCAGGGCCATGACCAACTCTCCACCTCATATGACCAACTCTCCACCCCACATGCAGTGCTGGGCACTTACCTCCAGAACCAGCCATAGCTTGTCTCCACTTATTTTGTCCTTCTTAAAGTAAATCCCATAGAATTTGACCACATTGGGATGGTCAGAAAGTGTTTTTAAGATGCTATACTCAGCTTCAATCTCTTCATCAATATCCTAGATTTTAAAAGATCATAAAAAGAGAACCATGAAAAAAATATGGATAATGTTAATAAAGGAATATTAGACTACAAGGCAAAGAGCCTAACTTAATAAAGCAAAATCATAATCATTTGTACTGTGCTCTGTACTATAGATAGAAATTTATCATTACAATATGGAGAAAGCATTGCTTTTGTGCTAATCAAATGCATCAAGCTATACTGATTTAGTTGAATTGTAAGAAAAAAATAATAGGCGATTTGTAAAATTTTACGTATATGAGTGCTTTGCCTGTGTGCATGTAATACACACAGAGTCCAGAAGAGGGCATTGGATCCCCTGGAACTAGAGTTAGGGTTTGTGTTAACCACCACGTGGGTGCTGGGAACCAAACCCAGGTCCTCTGGAAGAGCAGCCAGTGCTCTTAACTGCTGAGCCATCTCTTCAGCCCCAGAAAAATGAAAGAAGTAATAAAAAATATTATTGTATGCAATTGGAGGATAATTCCAGATGAGTTTGCTGTCACTGTATTCATTATTTACTTGCAATGACAAATACACTAACTTCAAATAAAAACTTTTAGGACTAGGACATTAATTCTGTTTATTTGGAATACAGCATATTTGGAAGTCATAAAAAAACCTGTCTCTATCAATGCAGAGTGGCACTTTTATTGTGGGGGTAATCAATAGCTATCAAATTGGACTTAAATCAATGGAACTCATGTATGGTACTGTAAATATAACCAAATACACATGGCTGGAGAGGTCATAGATGCTAGAGAAAAACCTATGTCTGTCACATCACTAGACAAACATAGTTTCTTACAGTATACTAAACATGCATCCTTATATTTATAGACAAGTATACCTCTCACCGCTCATCAAAGAAGCTTCTTTTTGCAATACATGGAGACTACTATAGAATTCCACAATGATCAAACTCAAAGAATAAGTGTCTGTGAGATGCCCAGCCCAAAGTGACACATCTACAATGGAACTTCGACACCCAGGCTCATGGAACATAGTGGAACAGGGGGCAGAGAGAATACTAATGCATCTCTCAACTCTCACCTGCGATGCTTCCTCATGCAACAGAGGGTTATTAGTACAGAAAGCCACAACTGGCCAAAATGTAGAAAATAAGAGACTGCAGAGTGCATGTTCCTGGATAGGACTCCTATATTAAACCTCTGCCACCCAGGGCTCAGTGACCATTGTATAAGACGGGGATGGAAGACTATAAGAGCCATCGGATGGTGGATGACCACAAAGGAGCAGAGTTTTCCAGGCTTCTAGGTACTTGCTCATATGAACTTATAGCAATGGTGACAGCATGCACAAGACCCATGCAAACTCAAACCAGACAAAAATGCAGCATAGAAGTGGGGAAAAGGATAAGAAGATTCAACCTTAGCTGAGGAAGGATCAGCAATCGATTACTGCTGGGTGAGGGAGAGTTGATCTTCTTTAAGGGAGTGATGCTAGCTAGATAGGCTGACCTGGCTCCACTGAATGAACTCACACTAAGGGACAAATGGGTACACAAACTTGACTTGATAGGCCTTAACATATATGCCAGAATGCATGAAATCCAGTGAATGGGCTATGAGTGACGCAGATAGAGGAGGAGGTCTAAATATGATTAATATACATTGTATAATACAGGTGTGGTGGTACACACTTTTAATCCCAGCACTCAGAAGGGAGAGGCAGGCAGATCTTTATAAGATCTAGGCCTTGTGTCCTTCACCTAAGTGGTAAAAAATGCCCAAGAAGGGAATGTGAAAACATTGTACACCAACTTAACCTGGGCACATTTCTCATTTTCCCCCTTCTAATTTGCCTAATTTACTACTTTAAAATAAAGCTTCCCTCTTCTAATCCTCTGTTAAAAGGATTAGAATACTGAAATTATAATGAGTTTAGCAGAAATAAATTAGCAAAAAAGAACCACCCCTAAGGTGAACCAAGAGAGACCAGGATCCTTTGTTAGTAGAGAACCTGTGTCAGGACTTCCGCTCCAATGTCCTCTTTGTACACATTTTACCATTTCTGCCACTCCGAGTGTCCACCATGGACAAGAGTCTCTTGACAGAAGTGGCCCTCAGCAGACGTTTGGGGGTATGGGATCCTGAGCTGCTGTGGCTCACACATGTACTATGAGAGATCTAGGTGTTCCCAAGAGGCTTATAGATCCCAAACTGACAATTCTCATTCCCAGAAAACAAGCCTGGGTGTGCAGCTCGGCTACAGAGCACATGCTTACCATGCAGAGGGCCTTGTTTCCAATATCTAGCACCATAAAAGTAAAGAGAATCAAATCACTCACGGAATATAGGATCTGATAGTCTTCCTCTACTATTACTAACAGGAAATAGGCTTGATATTTTCTCTAATCACAACTGCTCCCTCCTCAATAAACAATAGGGAACTCCTGCTGGGGACTGAGGCAGATCAGCAGGACTGAACAGGAAGCTCAGCTCTTCACAGTGAGGAACATCACCCTGATTACATTTCAACGCCATTTCTGCTATGGAGATATTTAAGAAAATATGAAAATTCTTCTAAGAAATTTTTAAGTAATATTTCTAAGAGAAATATTTTTTTAAAAATCCTCTTCAGTTTGGCTTAAGAGAAATACTACCCAAAGCCCAAAAATACACACAGGAAAAACAGAGATTGGGTTAATATAAGCAGAGTTTTTATGAGAACTTTGAAATCCAGGACTTTGTGTTTTCATGATTTTTGAAGACCAAGATAACATTCATTCAACTGCTTGGTTGTAGAGAGCTTCATTTATGTGTTTATGCAGCTATTTATGTGCTTGCAGTACCTTATTATACACATAAAATACAAAGTAGGAAAAGTGAAAAAGTAGTCCTTTGCATATTTTTTCAAATTTCAACTTGATTTAGAAGGGCGTTGTGTTGAGTAGATCAACGTAAGACACTTTCAAATGTTTTAGCTGGTTGATACAAAGGAAAAAAAAATAGAGATTAAAAAAGGAAACCTAGGAGCTGGGAGATATTTCATTTGGTAAAATGCTTGCCTTGGAAGCATGAAGCCCAGAATTTGCACCACCAGAATCCATGTAAAAACAGTGGGTGTGGTGGCACACCCTTGTAATCCCCCTGCTGGGGAGGTTGAGAGGGCAGGTAAAGGAGAAAGGTCACTGGGGCTTGCTGGGCAGATGGCCTAACATACTTGGGGAGTTCCAGGCTAGCAACAGACCTTTCCTCAATAAACAAGGTGGGTGGTGCCTCAGTAGTAACACCTGAGGTTGAGCTCTGCCTCCATTTGTACATGCAACACGCATATATATACACGCCTTCTTACACATGCACCTTCACACATATGAACATGCATACTCATTCATACAAATAAGTAAATAGACAAGCATAATTTTTAAAAACTTCAAAGTGACTTACATGAATTGGATCCAGAATTTTGACAGCTGCTTTTTGGCCATTTTTCTTATTCAGAACTTTGAAAACTTTCCCGTAAGTTCCTTTGCCAATTGTCTCAATGATATCCCATGTATCAGAAGGATCAGGAAAGTTATCAAAGATGATCGTTTTTCCAACTAATGGAAACATCTCAAAGGGTTAAGTCACTGGAGAGAAAAAGTACAGTTTAATCTTAATTTGTTTGGGGTTATTAAATGCATGAATAAGCTGGTGGGAAATTATCTAACATTCTCACCAATATAATAGAAAACATGTAACCATAGTCAAACACATTTCAGAGTCAGAGAAAATTTTAATTTATCTTTTATGAATAGATTAAGGAGTTTAATAATGCTTTATAAACAGGACTTAACTTCTGTGTTTAATATTGTCTCATATTAGTTCGTAATTCTTTTCAGATCAAAAACTAACATTTCTTATTGTTCCGAAGTAATTTTAACCAACTTCTTCATTCTCATTATGGTAAATAATTATAAGTATTATAGTAAATTGGAGAACTTTAAAGTCAAAAGTGAAGTCTATTTCCTTATTTATGAAAATTCCATTTTCTATAAGTGATATTTTATGTCAGTTCTCTCTATAAAACCCAATAATGGGTCCTCTTGGTGCTTTTAGGGTTAAGTTCTCTTTTTTAAAGTTTTAATGGCTGTTTTGCAATTTTCATACAATATAGTGATGGTATTTAGATTCCCTCCCTCTACTGCCCATCCCCCTCATTTAATATCCTGTCTTATATATTTAATAGAGCCGATAGAGTCTGATTTGTGACCCCAAATGTTCTTCAGTGCAGGTTCATCCTCTGGGCCCACCAGGAGTCCCATCCCTGTAACACAAGGAAGGGACTGTCTCTCCTCTTCCCAGCAGCCATCAATTTCCAGAAGTTCCTTAAGTTGCGTTGGGATTTCTTCCCCACTTCCCCATGTGTGTGCTGGGGTTTTGTCTGGTTTGAACTTGCACAAGACTTATGTGTGCTCTTGCCATTGCTTACCATAATCTCTGAAGTTTTAGAACTGGACAGACTGCCTACTCTGCCTTGTCTCTCAACATCTCTTCCTTCCTAAACTAAAATGCAGGTCATTTGATCTTTTCTTTCGTGTGAAGGTCTTAATTTGCTCTTCCTCTCCTACCCCTGCCTGAGGCTTCTTTGTAAACTCTAACTCCTGCTTATCTTTAAGGTCTCACACCTCCAAAATATCATCACCATGTGCTCCAACAGCTCTCTGTATTACTACCTGGCATCACCACTTAGCATCATTTTAGCACCTGGCCCAGCACCAAAATAATTATCAAGTATTTGTTTAAAGGAATATGGTCAAATGGCCACTTATTAACATCATTATGAATAATATGGACAACATATATTGCTATGTCATTATTGGAGTTATAATTATGCGTGATGTAATTGATATAAATGGAGGTGATATATAAAATACACCTGCTATCATCACTGTATGCCTAACACTTGACACGTAATGAAATAATTAATCAATGAATGAAAGGGACATGACAGAAAGGAAATTTTACTAATAAACCAAGATAAGAACCCAGGTAAACCTTCCTAGTTGTCAGTTATTTTTCTATTGCTTTGATAAAGTACCTTATGAAGCAACTTGAGGAAGGAAGGGTTTATTTTGACTCACAGTTCAGGGTATAGTCTGTGTGGTGGGGATGTAATGGCAGCACAAGCACAAAGCATCTGGTCACATCACATCCACAATCAAGGAGCAGAGAGCAAGGGACGCTGAGTCGACGGGCTGTCTCCTTTTCATACTCGACACCCAAGCTCAAGGAACTGCCCATTTTCAGTGCGTCTTCCCACCTAAATTAATCTAATCAACATAATCCCTCATGTATATTCCAAGAGGCTAAGAAATCCCTCTCAGTTCTCTCTGGAGGCTTGTCTCCTAGGTGATGCCAGATCTTCCCAAGTGGGCACAACACTCACTGCCATACCCAGTAATGCTGTGGGACTTTCCATGTTCTCTCTGTCACAATCAGCTATTTCTGTGACATTGTGAAAAGGGGGAGAATTTAAACTGTCAAAGGAACACGTTCTCAGTACCTTTGTAGCCATTGCATTTTCTCATTTATGTGTACAAAAGCATGTTCTTCTCAATGTTAAAAATTTGACTGCAGTTTATATGCATATGTGTAGAAACTGTCTGTTAATATATACACAAGCTTTCTCTTCACTGTGACAAACTATCTGATGGAAACAACTTAAAAGAGAAAGGATTTATTTTACAGTTTCAGAGGTGTCAGTCCATCATGTCAAGGAAGGCATGGCTGAGTAGAAAAATCCACATCGTGGTGGATGGGAAACAGAAAGAAGTGGGTTACAGGAAGAAAGCAAGGCCAGAATCCCCCCACCCCCACTGCACAATAACAAGCTTTTCCAACTAGGCCCAAACTCCTACCTTTCACTACCTCTGAATAATGCCATCATATTGTGAATCCATCCATTCCATCAGAGCTCTTATGATCTAATCCTCGAATCACCCCTAAATGTGTTCATTGATCAATCCTTTACGCATCTCAGTTCAGTCAAATTAGCAGTGAAGATTAACTGCCATAATAGACATGTATCAATAATTCACAAATTGGCCCCCAAATTTACTTTTCTGACTCACTACTTCACCCACATTACCCACCTATCCATTCTTTACTCTCTTTAGATTTGTCAACCTCTCTTCACTCCCTGCTCACGTTCCCCTCCCTCAGACTGGATCCTATGACTTGTAATATTGCAAACAGCAAACACCTTCAACGTTCTTATTTCTCCTTTTTCACCACAATCCTATAGGGAAAAAAACCAACTCAACTTAAGCTTTGCATCTTTACATATATGACGCTAAATAGAGAAAACCCACAGCAATCTTGCCTAGCACACCTCCTGGCAGACCATCAACAGCACCTAATCTTCCTAGTGCAGGCTTCTGGTTTGATGCTTTCCTTTTTGGGGAGTTACTGATATGTAAATATCTCTCCTTAAGTTTTTCCACTCCAAATAAATTCCTTAATCTTCTCATTCCAAGCATCACAAGTCAATATACCTCACAATGCATTCATGTCTGCCCTTAGCAGTTGCTGTTTGGTATCAGCTGGTTCCTTCCTACCCTTTAGTTTCCAGCTGAAGCAGGCTTTCTTAAGAAAGGCCTTCCCAAGTTAGTCTTCACACCCTTTCCCATTATTCATTCCCCAGAATGTAAGCTACGTGAGGTTCTGAACTTCTGTTATTTTTACCACAGCATGCACAATCCCCAGAACAATGACAAATGCGTGACAGGCAATCAGCAAGTTTTAGTTAAATGAGCAAGTATTTGTTTATCTATTAATTCTTACAGCAGAGACCGCACCTATCTTGTTCAATTCCAAAGCAAATAATGCTTACCTCTGTGCCTGTCACAAAGTAGAATTTAAATATTTGTTGAATAAATGAATAAATAATAGTTCTTAAAATTTTTTGAAAGCGAGTGAGAGAAAATAAGGATTCTAAAGATCTGAAAAGAATATGGAAATCCAAAACAAAGTAAGTATCGTGTTCTGATTAACTATACTAAGGAGCACATAATTTAGTAAATGGCTATGAATGCCTGATAAAATCACATCACTGCATAAAAGGAACCTTCAAAATAATTCTTAGAATACTCAATCTTCATGAAATTTGTGTCTTTGGTCCAAAATGCAAAGAGGTAATCAGTAAAAATCATCCTCTTTAACGATGGCATAATCAGTGATAAAATAACCACTTCTTATATCTATCTTCTAGAGTTATGCAAATAAGCATTTATGCCATGCACATAATATAAGTGCTAGACAAAGAGACCAATTACATCTTGTTAGGTGTCTGAAATAGGAGTTTCCAACCAAGGGAAACATTCATTAACTAAAATGCTTTCTTCCAAGTAGAAGGATGATTGAACACAACCATCATATCTAAGATATTAACTATTGGGAATTAACTGTCGGCTTTTCCATACACAAGCATAAATTGACAAAAAAACCCACAGAATACAAAATATGTGCAGCATAATTGAATGGGTTTTGAGATATAAATATAGGAAACATATTAAGTTAGAGTCTGTAACTCTACCATATTATAATAAGTGACAATAGAAATATGATTAATCGTTAGAGCAGACCAGATGAATAAGTAACTACTTCTGAAGAGCTGGATGCAGAAAAGGCACCGAGGATAAACAGTTTGAGCTGGATACTGAAAATAAGCAGTTTTGTCTAAAATGTGATTTTCTGTTTAACAGTGGTTGAATAGTCATACCCTGTGAGTACCATAGGGCAGTGGGAAGTTCCTTCAGTCAGCTCAGTTCCCAGCCCTGCCTGGGTTGCTGGGATTTTTTCCCCACCCCAGATCTGCAGCCCTGAATTTCTTTCCCTGAGATTTCCTGAGCCCTGTCATCTTTGCTCTCTGGCCTCCCTGGGTTGATAGGCTACTTCCCTGTCTCAGACCTGTGAATCACAGTGATGGGTTCCCTCCCACATCCCAACTCTCAGAGCTTTCTAGGTTGCTGGGATCCTTCAGGCCCCAGACTGTGAGCTCCTCCAGCCTAACTTATCAGCCAGTATACTCACCTAGCAGTCACCCAATTCATAAAAGAAATGCTATTAAATCTAAAACCACATATTTACTCCAACCCAATAGTGGGTGACTTCAATAGCTCACTCTCAACAGTAGACCTGCCAACCAAACAAAAACTAAATAGAGAAACCCTGGAGTTAAACAGCATCAGAACTCAAATGGACCTAATGGATATCTACAAAACATTCTACCCCAAACACCACCAAAGAACACATTTTCTTCTCAGTAGCCTATGAACTTTCTCCAAAGTTGATTACATATTAGGACATAGGCAAGTCTCCATAAATTTAGAAAAATTGAAATAACATCCACTATTCTATCTGACCACGCAGAAATACGGCTAGATATTTACAAGGCCCCCCCCCCTGCAAAAAAAGAAGGGAAAAGTACACAATCTCTTGGAAGATAAACAACACAGCACTGAATGATAATTGGATTAAGAAAAAGCAGAGAAGGAAATTAAACATTCCTAGAATCGAATGAAAATGAAAATACAACATACCAAAATATATGGGACACAATAAAAGCAGTCTTAATTG